GGGGGGGGGGGGGGGGGGGGGGGGGGGGGGGGGGGGGGGGGGGGGGGGGGGGGGGGGGGGGGGGGGGGGGGGGGGGGGGGGGGGGGGGGGGGGGGGGAGAAGGTGGTGTTATAACACCAAGGTCAAGGGTTCAGATCCCATGACTGGCCAGCCGCCAAAATGTAATATAAAATAAACTGACCAACTCATACAATGCAATAGTTTTTTTCCCCAGACATCATATCATTTGATTCTCACAACATCCTAGTAAGATAGGAAGAGATTATTTCTATGTCACAGAACAAAACACTGAGACTCAAAAGGATTACACAGACAAGGGCAGTGACTTAAACCCTGATCTTTCAGCCAGGATAATTAAGAAAACAAAAAACAAACAAAACAACTGCTTAGAAAAGCAAAGAGATAAGGTGTAAAAATAAAAGCGGATTTACCCAGACGAAATGCTTAGGTTTGCAGAATCACCAAGGACTTTGCCCACTGGAGTTCTAGGGAGATCTGGACAGATGGTAAAGGAAGTGTCTCCCTCCAAGAGCAGATTTAACATCTTCCTCTGACTGGACCTAAAACTGGGTCCTGAGCCAGGGCTTCCCTCCTCTCTTGCGGATGAGAAGAGTTCTGTAGACATGCTATCCAAGCTCTCACCAAGAAAAAACAAAGCCAAGGTAGGAGAAGAACGTCATCTGTATAGGTATATCATAGACTGTTCCACTTTCCCAACCTCCTCCACCCTTTCCAGACAAGCGGACCAGTATTGGAGGCTGGGCATCCCCAAAGGGTGAATCACAACCTGGCTTGAAGGTTAAATCGAACTTGCCGGAAGCGGCTTGGCCTTTTCATTGGAACCTGAACTTACCGAGGAGAGACAACCTCAGGACTTCAAAGATGGAATGAATGGAGGACTTAAACTTGTTCGGGCCACACAGCTCGAGACTCCTGACCGGGAGGAACTCGGATCTCCTCAACTCGCGACGATGCCCATTCGGTCCTCTGAGCTTCCTTTTGCTGGGCCCAGACTGGACCCTAAGTGGACAGTGGTGTCTCCGTGATTCCCTGGCGGAGACGGCTGAGAGCTTACCTCAAGTTTGGAGTCTGAGACTTGCCTTCGGGAGATGGGAAAGTGGGTAGGATCGGACACGAGCAAAGACCCGAGCCGAATGAAAGGAGATCTGGCAACAAATCCGACTACAATTCTGCTCTCGATTGGGTAGACTGATTTTCGCCGCGGCTCTCGGCGGAAGGTGGAAGCGCGAGAAGACCAACAGCCGCAGGCTTTGGTCCTAAAATGTTCAAACCTTCCGCCTTCGCAATAACCTATTCCCGCTCGCCTCTGGGTTGCGTCAGCCAATCTCCGCGCGCGCGCCCAGTACCCCACACCCCCGGCCAATCGTTTGACTCGTACATGATCCGGGGGCGTGGGCTTGTTTGGAATGGGGTAAGATTTGCCCCACCCCGGGGCCACACAGGATGGCGATTGGCCCATCAGCGTTCTTGAGGTTGCTGGGTAAGCTCCGCCCCACAGGGAACTAGCGCACCATTGGTTCTCCTCCTGGCCAATCGCCACACCCTTCCTGTATTCTCTCTTTGGCGGCTCCACCAACCCCGGGAGATTTAAATTGCTCCTCGCTAGGGAAGACCATTTGCTACGATAACACTAGGAGAGATTAGTTTGGGTGGGAGGGTGCTTTAAGCGTTTCTTTTTCCTTGCTTCTTTTCCGTGTCGTTACGTGGACCTTTCCCTCTTAGTTTTGCTAGCCTTCTGCTAGGGATGGAGCATTTGCTGCCGGTGTGGCAGGTATTAGGGCAAGACAGGTGTGTGTGTGTGTTTATGCTGGGCAGTATTGCCCCCTTCCAAGAGCTTTCCTTGTCCAGAGTCCCTTTTAGTGCGTAACATCTCAGAGACGCTAGGTTTTGTGGGTAAAAAGAAATTATTTCAGGTAAAATAGGGGAGTTGAATCATCTCTTGGCATAATCCTTATCGCAGTCCAAACTTTATGGAAACTTGAACATTAACTAGGTGACATTTATAAATTCTTCATATTGAGGGTTTGCTTTTAAATAATTATGCGGGGGTGTGTATAGATGAGACTAGATTGGCCATGAGTGTTGGGTGATGGGGGGGGGGGTCTGGTGCTTCAGAAACTTTAATGTGCATACTAACCACCTGGGGATTCTGTTAAAGTGGATTCTGTATTAGTAGGCTGGGTTGCAGCCCAATATTCTGCACTTCTAATAAGCTCCCAATTGATGTTGATGCAGCTGATCCTGGGGACCATACTTTGAGTAGCAAGGCATTATGCTATACTCTCCAGCGTATATTTGAAATTTTCCATAATAAAAAATGTTTAAAATAACTTGGAAGCTCTTTAAAACGCAGCCCACCAAAATGATGATTCAATAGATCTAGAGTGGGGCCCAGGAATTATCAAGGCCCCTAGGTGCTACCCATGTAGATGGCTTGCAGACCACACTTTGAGAAACGAAAGTCAGAAATGTAACATTTATCTTTGAGAAACAGTAAATCAGAAATACAACCTTTGTCTGATGTCAAGTTCTTCATGGTGGTAGTAACTGAGAGGTATGGTGTAGTCAGCTGATTTTCATTCTAATACCCGTTTCATCTGTAGAACCTGCCTCCCCAGAAAGAAGGTGTGTGAAGAGTCTTTGTCTTCTAGGATAGAGATGGTGAGTGTGGGAGTCAGCACAGAGTCTTGCCATGCCAGGTAAGTTTGAAAATCATGCTGGGGATTCAGGAAGTGTGGGATGAGTTGATTTCTGCTTTGATTATAATCATGCTTTGTGGGGCACTGTATACTTCCTTGCAGGTGGGAAGTAGAGACAGATGAAGTTGTCCTGCAGCGGCGGCAAAAGCAGATAGATTATGGCAAGCGCACACCTGGTTACCAGTGCTTTCTGCAGCAGGTCCCCAAGTGAGTGCAGTTGTTTGTGGTTACAAGGGTATCAACCAGGTGAATTTGGTTCAATGTCAGGTAATGGAAAGATACTAGAATCTGAGGGCTCTGACAAAGTTGCAGCATTACTAAAACTAATTTTCCTGCAATCTACTAGCCCCCAAAATAAGTTTCCAAGATTTTCTTATATGGAACAAGATCATACGTGGCCCATAAAACTTTTTAAAGCTGTATCCATGTTTCCTAACATGGTTGTTTTCCTCCCAACTATTTTTACTATCTCTATGCCTCCAGCTGACTTGGTTGATTGCAACAGACTTGACTGATTACATGTAAGTTTGCATGCATACATACAAACTAAATGTGAATAGGTAGAGTTATTTTAAAGTGAAGTCAATACTGACTTTTATATCTTGACTTCTGAGAGAGTTGGAATATATCTAATTTACCATTCCCAAAAGAAAGACTATTAGGGAGGTGGGAAGTTTGGTGTTTAATCTGATTTGAAGATTTAGTTTTTCTGTTGGATTAAGGGCATTGATCCTACATCATTCTTGGGGAATTCCTATCTAAGCTCCTGATTTACTGTGATAAGCAGTGAACTGTGTCTCTTCACCTTTACTTCAGTCTCATCCGTATTTGTCGTTGCCAGGGCACAACGACAGCCAGGATTTCACCCTCAAACACCAAACAAGAACAGGAGGTATAGCCGTCGCTCCTGGGATGCCCAGATAAGGCAGTGGAGAAGAGCCCTACATTCCTGGGATCCTCCCAGCCAGCCTCAGCAGGGCAGGGGGACTGAGAGGTGTGTTCACTATTCCTGGTTCCTTCTGTTAGTGGGGGTTAAGCTTTACCTCTCCCCACTTTGCAGAGGTCTAGCTTTCACTGAATGAAAAGACTGGGTCTGAATGTACATATTCCTCTGACTCTGCTGCCTTCCCAGGCAGGGAATGGAGAGTCTCTTAGAGCAAATGGAATCCACCCCTTTGGATGACCTCCTGGATGACTGGCTCCAGACCCTGAAACCCTCAGAGAATGTGGATGGAGGGCAGAAGAGGGCCCAGGTAGTATCCTTTGCTGAAGCCCATTGGAGCAGAGTAGCAGAGTGAGAGATGGGGTCTGAGCCATGAGAAGACAATTAAGATGGAGTTCAAAGTAGTGGCCCAAGAACAGAAGAATAAAAAGGGGGCAGCAGGAAAAAATAGCAGGATGCAAGTAAAAAAAAACAAAAACAAACTTGAGCTGGCTGGCCAGCTACTCAGTTGGTTAGAGTGTGGCCTTATAGCAGCAATGTCATGAGTTCAGATCCCTGGCCAGCTTCCTCCTCTCCCGGGGCCCCCCAAATATTAAAAACTTGAACTAAAAGTGGCATAAGGAAATTTAACTATGGGCAGGAATGTTGTGCTGCAATGGGGGCTATTTTATACTTAATGAAAGGGAGTGTAACCTTCCTTTGAAATGAGGCCTGAAACCTGCCTTGCAGGTAGGTTGTTTCAGTTTCTTTCAATGTTTTGCAAAGGAGCCAATACCAACTTCTTTTACTCAACCTTTTAACTTTAGTAAGTATGGCTAATAATAAAAAGAGGAACAGCCTAGAGCTTTAGAGTCTGACTGCTTTTTGATTCTGCTTTTGCCTACCACATGGGCAGTCACTTAACCTCTTGGGCTGCTTCATCTGTCAAATAAGGAAAAGATTTTGTTTCGTTTGGTGATAAGCAAAAATGAGCCCATATTTATTTAAAGTATATATAGCAAGGTGTTTGACACATAATACATACATTTATTGGAATCCATGTCTCCTATACCTCATGGCCCCTGCCTCTGCTCCTTCTCTTTTGCCAAGGGGAAATGTGTAGTGCAAGGTAAATCTTTTCTCCAACCTCTATTTTCTTGATTAGTACCTCACTTTTCCTCCACTCTTTTGTTTCAGTTTGCAGATTGCTGGCTCCCGCCTCCTCCCTTCCCTGGCTCAGTGAGGAAGATCTCCACCACTGGCTCTACTTTCTAGCTGATGACATTTGTTAAAGAAAATGTCTTTCAGGGGACTTGCTGCTAAGTGTAATGATTACTTGCATTACTACTATCCAATCAATTAAAAAAGAAATCTAAAACTGCCCTACAAAGAGATCACAACGCAAAGGCATTGTTTAAAACATCTCCTTTTTCTATTTTTTTGCTTGTCTCTCTGAACCACCGTTAATGCTGGCTGAAACTCAAATTTACATAAGAGCCCGAAATGGTCTATTCAACCTCCTCACCTACTAACGTCTACATTCAGTTTCTTTAAAAAGGACTTAAACTTTGGCTGAGGTGTGAGATGGTGGCAGTGGTGGAGACAATAAAACGTGGTTTCCTCTGCCTGAAGAGGAAATACAGCGCTGTCAACATCTTTTCCTCATCTCCTTGTTTCTTCCTTTCCTTTCTGTCTTAAGAAAAGCAGTCCAGCTGTAACCACCATACTCCCCCCCACCCCCGCCCCCACGCAAACAACTGAACCGCCTATGATGTCATAATCACAATCCCATTACCTCATCCTGCTGGGGGGGGGAGAGGGAGGGAGGGCGTAGCGGGAGGAGAGGGAGTGAACAGCCCTGGGCCCTCCTCAGCTTTACAAAGTGTTCTCGCTGAGGGTAAATTACAGAATCAAGTGAGAAGGGCCTTGCAACCGTTTTAAGTCCTGCGCTTATAAGGTTCGAGCCGATCCGGCAGCTGGAAAAGGGGCTCCCGGGACTCAGAGCAGGCCCTGATCGGCGTTTGGACTACACTTCCCAGCAGTCTTCACGCCGCGGACCGGTCCTTTGCGGGGGGCAGGGGGATTCCTTCAGAGAGGTGGCGGTAGAAGATGAGGAAGGAGAGCAGGTGAGAGCCACCGTGGCTAATTCTATTACGCTGTTCAGACCTAGTGGAAGGCTGCAGTTGGGTCGACGTAGGAATGGAAGGAATGGAAGGCGGGAGCGGTGGCTTTGTTTACGTTCGTCCGACATGGCCTCCCCTGCGAATTCCAAGATATGCCTCCAACTGGGCCCGTCCACCTTCTGCGATAATTTAGAGGGGGTGACTCGTTAGTGAAGAAACCACCCCATCCCTAAATCAAAGCGCCAGGCTTGTTCCCGACAGTACTACCCGAGGAAGACTTGGAGAGAGAAACCACACGGGGCTTGGGCCTCCGCGGGCGGTTCAGGGGGATTCTACGAACCGAAGTGATTCCCCAACTCTCCTCAGGGGCCGGTTGGTTCGCGCCGGCGCCTTTTAAGGGCGCCGTGGGGCGAACGGAGCGCTCAGAGCTGCTCTGGCCGCGGCCCTGGGAGCTAGAGGAACCGCGGTAGGTGGCGGAGGGCAGGTGGCGCTGGGGCCTCGGGGCGGGCACGTCGACCGTCCCTCCCTCCCTCTCTCTTTCCCCTCCCCCAGCCCGTCCGCCCGCACGGCCGGGCCTCGCAGGCCGCCTCCGCGGGAAGAGCACGGGACCCGGTGGGGGAGGGGGTGGCGGAGTCCTAAGTCCCAGACCCTCCCTATCCCCTGCGTCCTGAGTTCGCTTCCCGCGGCCAGATGATGGAACCTGAGTGGGAAGAGGCGGTGGCAGCCCCCCTGAGCGAGCCCTGGCGCTCCCCCAGGAGCCAGCGGACGCCCCGTGCCCCACCCCGCGGGAATAGGCAGGGCAGCAGAGGGAGAGGTTGAAGATTGGAGGGGGCCTAGCCTTTTGCTTCTTCATCGGGGTGGGGGGAGGGGTACTCCCCACTTGTCACCCTAACCCCACCAGAACCATATGGAGGAAGAGTAGTCAGGTCCCCACTTACCTGTTCGTTCACTTCCATGTCTCTCTCCTGTTTTCCTTTAGTCTCTCCCAGAGGTGTGGGGCTGAGACCTGGGGGGAAGGTCCCCAGGGGATTTGTGACTTTCTCCCCCTTGGCCTGACTTGATCCTGGGTTGTCTAGGTTTCAGCACAGCTTTAGCATCCCTGAAACACGAGTGTCAGGGGTTACTGCCATGCAATAGGAGATGGGTGGGAGTCCGATCTTTATTTTAGAGGGCTGCTGGTGGAGGGAAAGCCTGGACTCTGAGAGTTAGGCCTGGTGGGGTTGCGGGGAGCGCCTAGAGGCCTGCTTCTCTGTGGAGGGTTGAGCCCCGTGCCAGTTGTTAAGCTGAGAAGTTTTAACTTGTTTAGTGAACATTCAGGGCTGTCTGTACCCCTCAAACAAAATGGAAGGGGAAGGAAGGCGGAAAGAGAAGGCTTCTTACTCTTTTTTCAATGCCTGCTTGAGAAAGAGGAGGCCCCTTGTGGAGCTGGTTTGCCTTCTTTTGTGTCCTGGTTTGATTCCTTATGGCTTCCGTTCTGTTCCCCCTCTCAGCCTGGCCTGTTTTAGAAAACTCAGGCTGAGAGTATCAGTTGCGTGGTGGTGGTTGCATTGTTCCAATTACCGCTGTGTGTGGCCACATCCCAACAATTAAAATGCAGAAAAACACAAAATCACTCTCTTCACTTGATCCTAGAGAGGGCTGGGAGTTTGCTGTGTGTCCAGATGCCTCATGAAAAGCTTGAAAGAGTTTGCTTCACTCCCTGCTCCTCATGGCTGGTCTGCCTGAGGCCTGGAGTCTATAGGGTAAAAGCCTATAGTTAGGTTCCCTCTCTGGTTCATCTTTGAGGGCAGAAATAAGAAACCAAGAGCAGAAGTGATATAAACTTTAACTTCTCCCACAAGAACATAGGGGAAGAAGCTAAAGGGAGCTCTCAGGAAGCTGGAACTTTGTTTAGGATGGTAATAATAATTTTGCATGAAAACAATAGTTAACCATAATGATGATTGGCTTCTACTGGACCTTTCTTCCGAAGAACTAGTACATCCAAGTGTATTTCTTTGCTCTTCCTCGTGACCTCCCTCTGAGGTGGGAATGAGGTAGAGATGATTCCCTCTTTTTTGTAAAGTAGAGAGTAATCTGCCCTCAAGGTCACAGAAGGAAGAGAACCCTCTTGGGCTTCCCTTGTGTGCAGGTGAGGGAGGACGGCATTCAGCCAGAGAGATAGACCCTATTGCCTTCTTCATCTTTTTTTTTTTTTTTTTGCCTTTTGTCTTTTTCCGTGTCCGGCAACGGACCGCAACCCCCAGTGTCGCCCCAGTACCGGACCGGGACCGGCAACGGGATCGCAACCCTCGGTGTTGCTCCCGGGCCTTGCTCAGCCAGTGAGCGGGAACCGGTCTGTATGTGGGATCCGAACCCTCGGCGGGAGCGCCGCCACGCTTCCCAAGCGGCGCACTATAGCAGTGCGCCACCGGGCCGGCCCAGCCTTCTTCATCTTAATGATATCATCACTTCTGGAATTCTGAGGCTTCAAAGAGCAACAGACAGGAGGGATGAGAAACAGCAGACTAGGTTGACTCTGATTTTTACAGGCCAGATGGTATGCTTTTGTACATTTTGATATTTCATGTTATATCATAACTGCAACAGATCAAGATTATTCTGCCCATTGTATATATGGGTAAACTGAGGCCAAGAAATGTTAAAAGATTTCTCAAGACCGTCACAGAAAATTGGATTAAGATTTTGATTTCTTAATCATTTGCCAGTGCTATATATATTCTCTGGTGAGCTAACAGCCTGCTGGACATTTCTGGGAGTAGGCAGAACAAAATCAAGGAACTAGGATAACGTCGTCCTCTTCCCTTGAGCAAGGCTGCTCAGGCAATTGTGTGGGCTTGAAGCCTGGTCTCTGATAAAGTTGGTTTGTTTCTATCAGAAATTGGCCAGGAGAAAGAATCTTGATTAATTTTATCCATGGTCTTTGAGTCAGATCAGGCTAAAAACTTAGTTGAATGAAGTCATGGAGTTATTTTTAACATCTGTAGAGCTGCTCCTCCTTGTTCTCTATTACTATTTCTGTATTTTAGAAGAAGGGTATCTCTCTTTGCTTCTGACTGGAAGATAAAGAAAATATTGGACTGATCAGGATAGAACTAACTCTTAGGGCATTTCTCTCTCACTTGAGCTGCTTTCTAAGTGGTGTTGGTATTCTGGGTAGAAACGGCGGAGCATGAACCAGGTTAGGAGTGGCATAGAGATTTCAGCTTGCTTGCCAACTCCAGTTTATTTTACTGGATATCTGGAGTGCCAAGTTTAGAATGTTTCTGAGGCTGTGTTTAGGCTTAGGAAAGAGTTGTGACCAATTAATGATGTCTGCCAGAGGCCTGGCGTAGGGGTGCTGTGTTATGTGTGCCATGCATTTTCCATCTCTGGACCAGGTACATCTCTAATATCACTTGGGGCTGGTCCCTCTGTAATTGGCAGACTCAGCAGGCATGACTGGAGAGGGAAGTCCCAATGGTGCTAGAATGGTGCTGCAGTGGCAGAAGACGGCTCACGAGTGAGGTCTGGAAGAACGACAGGGAAGACATCCATCATTTGCTCCAAAGTGTGCAAGTCAGATCCTGGGGAGAATCATGATAACCCTGATCACTGAGCAGCTACAGAAGCAGACTCTGGATGAGCTGAAATGCACACGCTTCAGCATCAGTCTGGTAAAAGACCAGTCTTCCTGCTTCTCCACAACCCCCTCCCCCTTTTTTCTGAGGCTGTTGTTGCTACTACTTTACCCTTGTCCTGTGCTGTATGAATCATGGTATTTGTACTGGAAGAGCCTAAGAAAGGCTCAAAACCCAGCCCAAAAGGAAGGGGGCAGGGATTTTTCCACCGATAGAGAAGGGACACTGAAACTTGGGTGGAGAAGGGTTTGAGATGTTAGAAGTTGTGGATTGTTTTACTCACTAACTTTGGGAAGACAAGAGGAAGAGAACATGTAGCAGTCCCTAACATCACTATAGCCCATGAATTGCAAGGGAGAACAGAAGAGGATGTCCTAGAAATATCAGTGTGTCCTGAACTTGAGTCATGATAGATATTCTCTCTCTCTTAGCCTTTGCCTGATCATGCAGACATCTCCAACTGTGGGAATCCTTTCCAGCTTGTGTCTGGTAAGGCATCATATGTGTGTTTGTATATGAGTGTATGTCTGTGCTTCTATTCAAACATTTCTTTCATTGGTTTCCAG